CATCCGAGAGCAGTTTAACAACAGCCCAGAAATTGCCCTGCCTCTACAGCTGATGGTAATAACAGCCCATGATGGAAATGTGATAAAGCCACACACGCGTGTGAGCACACACACAGAGACACAGAGCAGCAGCCGTTCCCTCCCAGTCTGGGTCTCCAAACACCGAAAAACAGGGTTACAAAGTTAGGGAACTGCAGGCCACAGCACGGTATGGGGATCAAGGACTGAAAGAAAAAGCTCCCACAAATTAGGGAGAGGGGATGCAATGGCTGGGTCTGCAGTGCAAGGACAGAGAGGTCCACGGATCATGGATCATCCTGCTCTCAGGAGCTGGACAACTGACCGCAGCAAGCCCTGGAGCTAGGGATGCAGGGTTAGCAATGCAGAGAAGGACTCTGAGGCCTAGGGCACTCCAACATCACATGTTCGAGGATATCAGGGACGGACTGAGGGCTTTTGAGCATTCACAAGATCTGCAGCACCTTGTCCTTCCTCTTGCAGCCCCAGAGGGTGCTCCAGCACCCCTAAACCACCCCGTGCTCCCCAGCTGCTGCCCGTCTGTCAGTTCTGCAGCAGCACGTCCTCTCAGAGGTGCTGGGGCCTGAGTCACAGGTGTGTCTGTCCGTGGCTGCTGTCGCAGCAGCAAACTGTGCTCAAGAGGGAACGGGGAAGAAGCCATTAGCCCCGCAGTGGGGAGGCGACAGAGATGGATGGGGCGGCAGCTGCGCGCCCGAGCCACGCGGTGAGGAGGATCAGCCCCGCGCCGATGGCAGCTCAGCTCGGCGGGCTCTGCACCGGCACCTCGTCTCCATTACCCAATACCTAGCAGCCAGGAAAATTATTCCACACCCAAATGGCACCATCAGCTGCACGGAGTTCTCTGCCCGCTCCTTGCCCTGCTGCGGGGTGGCAGCAACCCCTGCTTTAATGGACTGAGCAGGTAAAGAGGAGAGCTGCAGCTTCTCAACACAGTCCGTGTTCTCAACACAGAGCGTGTTCCCACCAGCTCTCCCCACCAGCCTGGCCCTGCACAAACAGCCTGCAGGAGAGGGAAGGGGTCTCCTTCAGGCCCTGGTGAAAAACAGCTCTACTGAAAACACTGCCCTGGAGGGAGTCAGAGCTGAACTCCTGCGCGGCAGACAGGGTAGAGCCCAGGACTCCCATCCACTGCCAAACCCTTCCCCAGCCCCTCTATGCCACTGTGCCTGCTGTGAGAGCATCTGCAGCAGCAGCCACAGCATGAAGGACACTGCTCTGTCCCACCCTGCTCCTCTACCCAGCCCAGTACTCACGTGCAGGCTGGGGTGGTAGGTGAGGACGCCGTTGTCACACAGCGTCACATACTTCTTCTTCCACTCCTTGTTGAGGGACTTGCCGCTGCGTTTGAGGAGAATGCCCTGAAAGAGAAGAGTCAAGAGTCTCACATCATGTTTGGTCCAGGCACCTCTCGCTCTGCTCCAGCACTGCCCCTTGGAGACCGGTCTTGGAAAAGACATAAAGAGCAAACTTAAGAAAACATCTCCTAAGTTGGCTTTTCCACAGTATTTCCCTGGGCTGTGCCCCTTTCCCCATCAACACCCCAGTCCTCACGGACAGCCCCCCTCCCTCCGAGGGATGAGGGTCTCCACGTGCCAGCGCCAATGCTCAGGTCCTCTGAGGGACCCATCACATCCTCCGGTGTCCTGGATCACTCCCCGGGCAAATCGTCCTGTGCCGAAGGGCAGTGCCCACACAAGGCAGGAAGCAACCTCCCTACCACCAACACAGCTGGTTCCCAGACCTTCTCCCACCACCCAAAGCACAGAGGAATGGTCAAGGCAGGGACAGGTGGGGGCAGGTGGGGGCCAACTGAAGGACAACACTCCAAATACAGGTCTCCCAAGGGATGCACATTCTCTCGCCTGCTTGTGATTCTTTCTGAGAGCTGCCAAAGAGAGTTAGGGACACATTCCAGGAGAGAAACCAGGTCCTGAGCGATTGAGGGGTTGGTTCACACTCTCTTCTCATCAGGATTTTACATGAGACCCATCCTGTGGTCTCTGGCCCAGCACACTCCCAGGGCTGGGAAACGACTGCACTCACATACCCTTGAACTCCCTCTTCCCACCAGGATAACCCAGAATCAATTCCACTGATCTGAACCAAAGCTCAGAACTTGGACCCTCCTCATCCTTTCCCCATCCACTTCTGCCTCCCCGGGAAATCTACCTCCAGCAGCAATCCCTCATGTACCAGGTAAGGGCAGAGGTGGAGAGGGGGAGGGAAGCTGGAGCAAGATGCCAGATGCAAGGACTCCGGAGCAGTGAGAAGACATCAAGCATTCTGCCGGCAATGAGAGAAGGGCAGCACGGAGGGACAAAAGTAGGAATGAATAATGGAGTCTGGGAAAAAGGCTGGATTATCAAATGTCGGGCCTGGGCCCTTGGAAATTGCTGTCTGGACAGACACCCAGACTGGCTGTTCCTAACATGGCAAAAATCTGGGCTCCAGGCCAACCCCTCCTCAAAAACCTGCGCAGAAAGTCTCAGCCCTGCCAGTCTCAGCATATTTGGGGGCCCCGTCCCACTGCCTGGAGACTGGGCTGCTGCACCCGCACGGTGGACTGGCCCACCACAAAGTGGTGGGGTTTGGCCCACACGGGGGGGACAACGCTGCCAGACGTGACCGTGAAATCACAGATAAATGGTGCACAACAGGCAGAAGTACTCCATGGCTGCTCCAGCTCAGGGCTCAGGAAGCAAACAGTGGGAAAAAGAACTATGCCCTGCTCATGCAGGGATGAGACAGCAAAACAGAGCAGTGAGTGCGAAGCTGCGTGCGGGCAGGATCGGATCCCTTGCCAGGATCGGATCCCTTGCCCTCTTGCCCCTCAAGAGCTCCGATGGGATTGGACAAAATGCTCACTCAGTGGCAGCCAGAAGGTCCTTGATGGAACACGCTGTGGAATGTGGCAGCTGACCAGCAGCTCCTGCTCTGCTGACATCTGCCAGGGGACAAACAATGACCCTCGGAATCACAGCCGGACACTCACACCAGGCAAGTGTGTGGAAAAGCCACAGCAAGGAGGGATGGGAAAAAAACGAGAGGAGAGCAGAGCAGCCAATGCCAGCTGGTGCAGATGGGACAGCAGAGGAGCCTGGTCCTACCTTGGGTGAGATGCAGTATCTGATGGCTCTGCTGACGCAGTGTTTTTAGCTTTCCGTCAGTACTTTACCAGAGCAGCAACACCCTTACACACCAGCTGTACAAAATCCAGAGCCAGTAATGGATGGAGTGAAAACTGGTCAAGTGCGAGGTCTCAAAGCATATTCATGACTGAGAACAAGTGTGGTCATAAATGGTAAACCTGCACCCAACATTCGTTCAGTGTTTTTCAAACAAACCTGCTTCAGACCAGGGTGAAGTTACAGATCTGGCTCAAACTCACTGTGTGAAATTCTCTGGCTTCAGGGTGTGACAATTCCTTTCTGACGATGAAGATCCCTTTTCAGTATGTAATAATCCCTTCTGGGCATGATGATCCCTTAAACCCAGCTTGGTTCCACAGCCTGACAGCTCCAGCTACCTCTCCTCTTCTCAAGACACAATGTGTCCTGCACCTGATGCACCTTGGTGTTACAAAACACCTGCTTCAACACTTCCAAACTGCCCCAAAATCCTGCTGCCTGCAGAGAAAAGTTGGGCTGCGGTTAGTTCAGCCTCAAACCTGGAACTTGGCAAACTAAGAAGCACTAAGAAGCACAACCAGACCCAGAGCCAGAAAGGAGGATCCAGCACTGCAGCCCATTTTTGTGAGCCAGGAGGCACAAGAGTCCAAACCCAGGAGCAACTACAGGGTGTAAGTAAATACCTAATGCAATACAACGTCTTCGTGCCCATGGTTGAGGCCATCCCCTCCTGTTCCTGGTCCTGGCCAGGCTCCTCACAGCTCCAAGACCAGCAAGACCCCTCCCTGTGCTCCTCAACCTCCCTCTGCACCTCCTGGGAAGACTTACAGCAAACGACTCTTCCCCAAGTTTCTTCCCGTATGGAAGTCACGTGCAAAGGGTAGGAGCAGCCGAAGCCGAAAGGCAGGAGAGCCCGACCCTCTTCCTCTCCCCACCGTTCCTGCCTCTCCCGGCATTCCGTGGGCCGCAGGCTCTGAGCCGCGCTGGGCTGTGCCGCCGCACAGTAAAAGCAGCAGCAGCAATATGCAGCGTAATGAAGCAGGGAGCGGCGATGGCCCCCAGAGGACTCGTTTACTCCACAAATCTCCCTTCCACTCACTTTTTGCTAAGAATTTTAACACCAAACTTAATTGTAAAGTCGCGTATTGATTGGAAAATGCAAATGGCAATTTAAATGTAATCTAAGCTCCCAGCATGATCCCAGCTCCCAAGGAGGAGGAGTCACCCGCCCTGGGCCCTGCTGGAGTGCACGGCCCGAGCGGAGCCAGGCCAGGGGCTGAGGGACCCCCGGGCTGCCGGCAAGCTCCATGCAGCCTTCCCAGAAAGATCTGGTAGATGTGCAATTAGGAGTTCATTCCTGGCAACAAACAGCTGGGGAAGCTTCGTCTCCCAGCCCAATTAACCCACTTCTTGGAGACAAGCGTCCAGCTATGAGGGAGCTCTTCCAGCCTTGCAGGACCATCACTGAAAGGACACTGTGGCACAGAGATCCTGAGTCCCCGGCACAGAACACCCCTGGCACAGGCACCAGTTGTCCCTGCAGCCCAGAGGGAGTAGAGGTGCTGTTCCAGGTCTTGAGGGGCCCCAACACTCTCTTTTCCAGATGTGTTTCCCCAACACATCTTTTCCAGATGTGCATTAAGGGAGATAGATCAGGTCACCCAGAGGTGATGTGCTAGAGAAGGTGGTGACAAGTGATAACCAGGCACCCTGTTGTGGCAGCACATGTCCCTTCTCAGCCAAGTCTACCCAAAGTTTCTCCTTTCTGCAGCACCCAGCCCAGTTTCCCACACCCTGGCTCCAGGCAAACTCCGTGCCTGGTGTGCTGATGGGGCTGCCAGCACTTCACGGTGCTTGTTCTGTCCCCACAGAGCCCAGGAACAGGTCGTGGGTCACGGGAGACACATGGGAGTCTGCCGGGCAGTAAAGCGACTGCCTTCAGCCACCAGCTGGTAACGTAACCATGGACTCGTTCTTCCAAGCAGAACTCAACTGCTCCCAAGGTCACATGCTGGTGGTCCCAGCACTGAACACAGCTGTGCTGCCAACATCCCAGCGGTGCCCACACCAAGGGAACACTGGACACATACTCAACCAGAAGGTCCAGCATGTTTGCCACTCACAGCCCTAAACCCATCGGCTTCACAGCTCTTACAGCTGGGCAGGACCACCAGTAACTTAAGATCCTCCTCTCCTACTGCCCTGCAAAGAGACAGCAAGCAACTAGACCTCCATGATCCATCAGAAGAGGAAGGTCCCCACCAGGGAACAGAGCAACCATCCTGTCCTGAATCTTTGTGATGAAGAGCAACAGCTCCTGCGAGTCTTTGCTCCTCTTCCCATTGGTGGTACCAAGTCATTGTTCCTCGTGAAGAAGGGCTGCAGCAGGGACATCACTCTGCACTCTGCATGTTCACACTGACCCCATCCCCACAGCCCAGCTGTGGATATCAGCCAAGTCCTCCTTGGAGACCACAACTCCACGCCTGCCTAAGATGCTGCAGCACCACTGTTTAATTCCAGTAGCAGGAGGGCAGCGATTCAAGGTGCCACAGTGACCCAGGAGACAGGTCACAGTGGTGCTCTGCAGCCTCGAGTCCCGCCCAGGGCCAGCACCTCCAGCACACTGTAACCTGAGGAGGGAGAGCCACTGGCACAAGCTGGTATCCACCTGCTCAACACCACTTCCTCTCCTGCATGTTCCTGTATAAACACTGCCAAGATCTCTGCAAAATCACCTCCTGAAGCTCTGGCTATGGGACGTGCCAGGCAAGGACATGGATCTCCCCTGGAAACGTTTTGCTCTGGGCTCTTGTAGGGAGCTGCTGCATGAACAGGTCCCTCCACTTAGTCCTGAACCAGGCAGCAGTTTGGCATCTCCTTCTCCTTGCTAAGCCCAGAAAGGATGTACATGCTGTGTTTGCAGACCTGGGCCTCTGTCAGTCCCAGTTCTCCCCATTGCACACAGGAACAGCACTGTCCTGCCTACAGCAATCCCACTAGAGCACCTGGCAGACCAGACAAGGCCAGGCCCTGTCAGCAGCACAGAGACACAGGAGCAGGTAAAGGACGCATCCTGCCCTGCCAAGTGGAGCAAAAAAGAAACCCATAGGTCCAGACAACCAAGACGACAGGAGGGCTCCCAGGACCAGCCCTCTGGCAGGCAGCAGCAGGTTCTGGGGAGCCACATCAGGTCTCACTGAGGGCTTCAGCTGCTCTGCTCTCAGCCTCCCATTCCTCACCAGGGAACAGCTGCACACTGCTTTTCCCGATGCCTGGGCTGGGCTGACCCAAAACCAGAGCACATGGGCACTGCCACCGCAAACCAACAGCACCTGTGCCACAGAGAGCTGGCTGTCCCTTCCTGCTGGGCTGTACCAACTCCTGGCACCCTGGGAGCAGAGCCCCACAGTCCCTGCCCTGGCATTGCTTCCCCTGTTACTGATCCCCAGAGCCAACCCTCCCAACGCTGCCCTCCCAGTGTCACCCTCTTTCCAGCGTGCTCCCCTGCCAGGGGCACCAGCAGCCCTGTGCAAGCCAGCCACAGGATTACTCCATGGGCTGGGAAGGGCAGGAGCTCTGGCAGCTCCAGCAGCGAGCAGAGTCTCTCTCTTCTGACCCACCCCTCCAATTCCTCAGCCAGCCTGGCCTCACCAAGCCCTCCTTCCCCAGGGAATCTCAGCATGGAATGGTTCCAGGCAGACAGGACCTGGTGGGGATGCAGACTCTGCCCTCCTGCCCCACAGCCCAGCACTCCCACGATGCAGAGAGACAAGTGGCTCTGTGCAGCACAGCTCAGCCCTGGTAGCATGGGGGGCACACGGGGCATGGAGAGGCTAGTGGGGGGCACGGTGGGGAAATGAATCCACAAGGGGGGCATGAGGGGCAAGGCAGGGGCACAGCCAGGCACTGCCAAGCAGTGCATGGATCCGCCTTGTCCATAGTGCAAGGCAATCCCAGTGCAAACTATCTCCCCAATCCACACCACTTGGCTAACTCGGACGTTACTCATCACTGCTTGCCAGTGACGGACACGGGCAGGAAATGCACCGGGTCATTTCCAGGTAGCTTGAGCTTCCCTGGAAGCCAGAAGGCAGGACCTGAACATGCTGCTGCCAGAGCAAGCAGGGCCTCCCTTGGATTCCCAGTAGCTCACAGTGTTGGTAGTGTGCTCGCAGCTTTCTGCAGCAGCCCACGAGAAGGGGAGGCCCTCTCCTGTCTGCTGGAGGGCAGTGAGGCCAGAGCAGGAGCAGGAGTGGAGAGGCACAGAAGAGCAGAAAAGGAGCAGAGTGAGGCTGCAGCAGGGGCTGTGGCAGGCGCGGGGTGTGGATGC